GCCTGAACCGGGCACGGCATCCGGGTGGGGTCCCACAAGTGCCGCGGGAGGGACGGATCCGTCCCCTCGCCCCACTGCCTGTGCGCACAGCTGGCACGCAGTGGGCCTTTGCCAGAGGGACACGCTGCTGCCACACTGCCGCCTTCTTGTCCTCCAGGACCGTTTCGGCAAAGCTGCCTTCTAGGCGGCGGCCCCAGGCTGTCCTGTGGCACAGGATTACTCTGTCCCAGGAGCAGGACTTTGCGTTTAGCTTTGAAGTCCATAATGTTCTTGCCACCCTGTGTCTCCAGCTTGTCAAGGCACCTCTGAATAGTAGCTCTGCCCTTAAGCTTGTTGACCGCTCCCTCCACTGTGGTGTCACCTGCAGGCTTGCTGAGTGTGTGCAGTGTCCCATCCTCCAGTTCATGAACGTGAAATGCATTAAATGGCATTGGCCCTTCTCTCAGTTCCTGAGGCGTGGTGTTAGTAGCTGACCACCAGCTGGACTTGGACCTTGGTGGTCCAGCCAGTTTTCCATTCACCTTATCTGATTATCAATGTGCATGTCACCTATGTGGCTAGAAGGGTACCACGGGAGACCATGCTGAAAGCCTTCTTAAGGTAAGCAACATCCGCTGCTCACCCCTTACTTGCACAGCCGCTCATTTGTTCACAGAAGCCAGCCAGGTTGGTCAAGCACAATTTGCCGTTGGTAACTCTGTGCTGGCTGCTCCCAGTCCCCTTCTTGTGTGCTGTGTGCCGGGAAGTGTTTCTGGGAGCATTTGCTCCACAACTTTCCCAGAGACGGGGGTGAAGCTGACTGACCTGCAGTTTTCAGGACCCTTTTTCTTGGCAATCTTGCAAGCTGATGTGACGTTTGCCTTTTTCCAGCTATCAGGAGCCCCCCTTTACTGCTGTGACATTTGAGCACTCACAGGGACGTCAGCCATCCCCCTCGTGTGTATTCTGTCTGGTGCCATGGACTTGTGCGTGTTCAGTTGGCTTCAGTGATGCCTCCCTTGATCTTCTTCTGTGTAATGCTGCATTCTCACAGACTCAGCCTCTGGGCACAGGGACTTCGGAGGCCCAAGGAACAAGGCAAAAAGGCACCGATCACCTCAGCCCTTTCTGTGTCTTGTGTCACTAGGTCCCTTGCCTCCCTCGCCACCAGGCCTTTCCCCAGCGGTCAGGGTGATTGACGTCCCCCATGGGGACCAGGGCCTGCAATCATGGGTCTTTCTCTAGCTGTCTAAAGGAGATGTACCCATCACCTCCCAAGTGGTTATTACCTGCTCTGAGGCAAGGCTCTGTGTATTCAGGCTACTTCTTTGTGCAGATCACAACC